TACTAATTATATTTTAGATTTTTTATATTTAAAATGAGATGTTTATCATGTATTTGATTGTGTTTATCTGCAATTAGTTACACGAATTCAGATATGTGAAGGGTTTAAGTTGTTTTTAAGAGATTTTAAGAGTTTTAGTCAAATGCTTTATAATATAGTATAGATATAGATTATATAGGGGTTGGTTCAACAGTTAACCAAGTTTATTGTATTGACTTTGTTAACCAATCTTGTCTATTGATCTTTAAAATTTGTGGCTAAGATCATTCATGACATAAAGTGTAATTAATTGTACACATAGACAAGGTAACATAAGTGAACAATATTTACAAGGGATATTTTGGAAAAAGATTTTAGTTGTCTATTAATGATAATGTGATGTTTTATAACTGCCCATTAATGACAATGGGATGTTTTATAACTGCCCATTAATGACAATGAGATGTTTTATAACTGCCCATTAATGACAATGTAACTATTCGAGAATTAATCTCGTCATCGAATCGAAACCAACAGCAAGATCCCCGACACCAAATTTTTCTACAGTTTTTTTTGTTAATGATTCATATGTAAACAAGTACTCGATATTTATGGGAATTGTTCATGTGTGAACAGGGGGTGTATATTATAAAAATCGTAAACGACACAAGTGTGCATATATGTCAGTATGTGTTTGTATTTCACACAAAGGTTCATATATGTCAATTTGTGTTCGTAATTGACACAAGGGTTCATATACGTCGAGTTGTGTTCATATGGTCACACATGTTCATCATCTTTCGAATGTTCATTTGTATCAATATGTGTTCATATTTATGTCAACTGTACATATATGTCAATTTGTGTTCATAATTGACACAAGGGTTCATATATGTCAATTTGTGTTCGTAATTGACACAAGGGTTCATATAAGTCAAGTTGTGTTCATATGGTTGTACGAATGTTCATATATGTGAATTTGTTTTCATATGGTCACACATGTTCATCATCTTTTGTATGTTCATTTGGATCAATATGTGTTCATATTTACACCAACTGTACATATAGGTCAATCTATTTCTATAATTGACACAAGTGTTCATATATGTTAATTTGTGTTCGTAATTAACACAACGGTTCATATATGTCAAGTTGTGTTTATATGGTTGTATGAATGTTCTCATATGTGAATTTGTGTTCATATGGTCACACATGTTCATCATCTTTCATATATGTCAATTTGAACAGTACCGAAAACTTTACTACCGGTCTCCTCCACCAATTACAAATTCATAAACATTAGAGATAGAAAATTAATATTAAAAAATAACAAGATTAATAATAAGTTAACACAAATCATGGGATTTTATGATTTTGTAACTCCCAATTAATGATATAGGAGTTACATAAAAAAGGAAATTACATATGTACCTATCTCATTAAAATCTAAGATGGATATGAACCTAATACTAAGATGTATTGTGATTGGTTGAAAATGGTTAACAAAGTTAACACAATAGTTTGGGTTAACATTTGAACCAAACGTGCACGCTCTCTCTCTCTCTATATATATATGTATATTAATAACAATAAGGAAAAATGTAAAATGGTCAAAGTGCCCCGAGTTCGTAGACTTTTTAACAACTTTTTAGCATGAAGGATGGTTAATGCAACCGTATTGATAACAATTGTAATAAATGAACACAAAGTGAAAGTTCAAAAAGAACCTAGGGACAGAAAGCGTAATTTAGCCTCTAGATTATGAGGAAGATCTTTACGTTACAGTACTTATGTAGAAAATACAGAGAAATCTCTCCTTTTTAGTTATTTTTTTCAGCTCTTTCAATTCCTTTATAACAAAGAAGATGTGGAAAAGAGGGTTTGAGCTAACTTTCGATAACTAGGCATAACTCAAGACCTTGTTGTGATGTTAAAACTCTATACCTTTTCATTAATTAAAACAATTCAACTCGGAGAAAAGAAACAATCGTTGAATAAGTAAATCACACATCAAGCAAAGAACAGTGGAATTCCAAAACCGATAACAAGATCCAACATCCATTTTAGAAAGGTTGCAAGAATAATCTCATTAATTTGTTTTCATATTTAGAAACAAAAGATTTAGCCCTATAGACAAACAAATAAATTATTTCCATCCACAGGCCTAGATATCATTTTGTTGTATGTATGTATTAGAATCAGATGGGTTATGTCTTTGTTTCAGCTATTAGAACACAGATGCAATGATTCAAATACGTTTTGTTGGAGGGACGCAAATTCATGGACCTCGAATTGGGCCAAAGCAGAAACACCTGGCAACTTGATCTTCGGGTATCATACCTCCACCCTTGCTGGTATCAATGGCCTCTAGTAACTTCACAACTTCATCCATATCAGGTCGCTTATCTGCATTTGCATCCCAACATTTCCGCATTATGGTTGCTAAAGAACTTGGGCAGCATCTTGGTATTTCTGGCCTCAAATTCTAGCATATGTGTAACATCGATTCAAGTTAAGTTTGTGACTATCAAAGTAATCAATCAATGCTTCCAAAATATGGCAAAAACTAAAGTCAAAAGTGGGTAAAGTGTTTCTAGCAATATTATGTGTAACATCAATCCAAATTAAGTGTGTGACTATTAGAGTAATCAATGTTTTCAAAATATGGCAAAAAGATTAAAGTCGAAAGGGCAAAAAGTAGCAGTTGATCACTCACATGTCGAACCACAGCTGATGAAATTTCAGCAAAACTGAGAAACGGGTATGGCAGATCACAACAATAAGTTTCCCATAAGCATACACCAAAGCTGTATACATCACATTTTCTGTTATAAGGCTTTCCTTCAAGAACCTAGTGAAACACATATCGAATATCCTATTAGAGGTATATGAGATTAAACCAATGTGACAGTTTAAAGAACTTAACGGCCATGTTTCACAACCATAAACTAATTTTTCTCGGTTTATTGAAAAAGTCTCGTTTAGCAAGTCATCAGCTAACTTTTTGAATATATACTTCACATAGCATTTAGGGTGCGTTTGGTACGTGGAACAGAGTGGGACAGGACAGGACAGGACACACTTGTCCCATGTTTGGTGTGTTTCTAAATGGAACTAAGTGGAACTAAGTGGAACATACATGGGACAGACTTGTTCACCCTCTCAYCCTGGAACTAAGTGGAACAAGAGTTATTTGACAAATATACCCTAAATCTAATACCCATCTACCGTCTCAATCCATCTCCATCGTCTTCTTCAAGCCACTGCCACCTCCATCTCCATCGTCTTCTTCAAGCCACCGCCACCTCCATCTCCATCGTCTTCTTCAA